AAGGTAAATAAAACACTCACTGTTCTTCATTGCTTTCCAGTCTCTCAGAGAACAGAGCAAACTGGACACAGCTATAAGGTAACTCTGTAGAGTAAGTGCCCTTAGCGTTGGGGATAGGAACTGGCAGAGTGTTGGGGAGGTGCTGTGGTTCACTCTTTCCCCAGCCTGGGTTCCAGCTTTCAGCTCCTCCTTTCCTATGCTGACCTTTATTAAGTTATATCTTATCCTCTACTCCTCAGCCCCCGTACCACCCCTGCCTCCTACTACTCCTGAGCACATGAAGTGTGCTATTAAAAATGCTCCAGCCTGGCACTATGTATGGTGTTGTATACTAATAATCCCAGTGCTTAGGAGGTTGAGTTAAGCCTTGAGAGTTCAAAGCCAATCTGGGCTACACTGAGACTCTTTAACAACTGTTCAGTTTCAGAGTTCCTAACATCCCTCTGGGGCAGAGGAGGACCACTGCCCTGGAGGCAGAGCAGGCATGCTGTGAGCTGGCCACCGAGGACGGTTCCTTCACTTCTCAGTCTCAGCTGCTGCCATCCATCTTTCCTACCTTGTAAACATTTTCTTTTTTTCCATTTTATGGGTGTTTTGCTCCTGTGTACACATATAAATTAAGTCTCTCTCTTTTAAGAACAAGCCCCCCTTTAAAGGTGTTGCTTTGCTCCCACAGAGGTTCTTTTGCTTCCTACCGCCACCTAGGGGTATCTAGGGAGAAGACAGCCACCCTCCTAAAATGCAATTTGAAAAGTTTTATTTGGAGAATGTAAATGTACCCTGCCCCTTAATTGGTCAGAGGAAACATAGATGACAATATTTCTCCTCCTCTTTCCTTTTAGAGACAGGGTCTTGGCTATGTAGCCCAGGCTGGCTTTGAATTTTTACTCCTACCTCTGCTTCTCAAGTGCTGGATTAAGGGCTTGAGGCACCACACTGGGCTCTGCCGTTTCTTTTGTTTCTACCTTTATCTTCTGTTCCACAGTGCCATGTCTAGGCTGGTCTATTTTTTTTTTTTTTGGTCTTTCGAGACAGGGTTTCTCTGTGAAACAGGTTACAGGTTTGGCTATTCTGGAACTTACTCTGTAGATCCGACTGCCTCTACTCCCAGTGCTAGGATTAACGGCATGCCGCCACCACCTGGCAGTTTCTCATCTCTTCAGTAAAGATGGACACCAAAGGCAGTAGGTAAGTCATTTGATGAGCCAGGCAGCTGCCTTGGACTAGAACAGAAACCCTTTCCACTCTAACAAGTGTAAAACCTGTCATGTTCTCTTTCAGTAGCTACACGCAAACAGCTGCAGACAAGTTCCAAAGGAACAGCTCATCTCATTTCTCTAACACCCACTGCTTTTAGCCAAAGGAAGTGCTTAGCCACATCTGTAACTAGTCAAAAGTTTAACTGGAGTGATGTGGGTGGGGGTGGGGTACTGTGGTATCCCTGGCAGATTCACAAGCCTTGGGTACTTTTGGGAGTGCCCAACATGTACAAAATCCTGTGGGGGAAGATGTGGGGAAGTCTTAGAGCCCAGTCTCCAGATATTCACAAGGGAGCCCAGTCTCCAGATATTCACAAGGGAGATAAACAGTATGAAAAGGTTAAATAAAGGTCACATACTAGAATGGAGAAAGAGCATATAGCAACAAAGTGATATTGTATGTTCCATCTCCACCACTACTAAAGTTATGTGACTGTTGTACAGTAACACAAGCCCAGCCTCCATCTATGAATATGAGCCTGGAGGTTCAGAGTTAGGTGTACAGAGTTCTGAATGACCTAGTTCAGTGGGATGGTATAATTGGGTGGCTGTGATATGCAGAATATCAAGTACCTCTATCATTGTATATATTCAGTCATGACTCCCACCACCATGTGGGCCAGCTCATCCACTGAAAGGCCTCAGATTCTTCCATTCTAGGAGGTCTCCAGGATCTTATCTGGAGTCAGTCACATCTTGAGGATAAAAACTGGCATCCTGCCCTGTGAGCAACACCTCCACGAGCCTTTACAAGATGTCTCTTGCCAGCCACCACTTTGATTTTTAAAGATTACTTTTATGTGCTTGCTTGCATGTATGTTAGAGCACTGTGTTCATGCCTGATGCTCAGAGGCCAGAAGAGGACATCTGATTCACTGAAGCTAGAGTTACAGGTGCTTGTGTGCTCATGTGAGTGCTGGCAACGGAACCTGGGTGGAAGAACACTTTTTAAAAAAGATTCATCTTTATACACATGGGTGTTTTGCCTGCATTTATGTATGTCTGTGTGAGGGTGCCAGTCCTCTTGAACTGGAGTTACAGACAGTTGCAAACTGCCATGTGGGTACTGGGAATTGAGCCCGGGATCATTTGGAAGAACAGCTGAGCCATCTCTCCAGCTTCTTGGGATTTGTTTTTAGGGTCTCACTAGTCATATGGCTGGCTGTTTTGAGCCTGAGTTCCAGGACTGTAAGTGTGTGCATACTGTGTCTGGCAAAAAAATGTGGTTATCAATCCCTCACATACTAGCGCCCACCATTACTTATTACCGCTCCCCGGAGGCTTGGGGGGGGTCCTCCTTCCTCTCCTTTGCCTCTCTCGCCAAATATCACCCATTGCATCCCTCAGGTCCTCTGTAAGGTAGCCTCCATTCCAATCCCACTCGGGGAATGTACTGGATGTGGGCTTGCATGCTGTTAAACACAGACCACACTTTCAGCCCTTCATCTCTCTGTCATCCATGCCCCACATCATCTGCCAGCTAATGATTCTATATATTTGCCGCTCTTCCTAACATTCCTGTCTATGGTCTTACTTTAGTATCAACTCTTCCAGTTGCTTTTTTCTGAGACAGTATTATTATAGTGCTCTCCTCTGTTCCCACTACACTGTCACCCAAAAGATCACACCTAGTCCCCCCCTGTTGTCATGCTCTCAGGGCTGACCATCACACCAGAACAAATCCAGCTGCCCAGAGGCTGGAATGCTGAGTTAGCAGCTGCCTCTCCATCACCTTTCCTGCTTCCACAGTGCACCCCATCAGCCTTCCAAGTCCTCAAAATTGCAGGCTCATTCCTGCCACAGGGTTCTGGCACCTCACTCTTCTTTTTTGCTCAGGACAGCTCTTCCTCTGATCCTTTCAGAGTGACTCATCTGTCACCCCACCACCACCACCTCCCCACAATAGGGCTCTCCTAGTTCCTCATTGACTCTGTGTAAATGGGTACCAAGAGAATGATGAGCACTCCCATACCCCATCTCTGGGACAGTGAGGAGCATGTGGTAAATACAGGTGACAGAATGTGCTGTCTCCAGCCCATCCATCTTTGCAGACTTTTTGTTTCCCCCTCTACCTACCTGCACGACTACCACTGGCACAGACATCTGAAGATGGAGTCTAGTCCTACACTGTCCTCTCCTTGTTCTCATCTTCTAGAGGATGTCACTACTAGCCAGCCAGTTATACAAGCAAAAGACAGAGTCCCTTTGCATCAAAGGTGGTTTCCACCATCCTCCTGTCATGTACCTCTAACTTTTCTCTTTTATCCATCCATCCACCTCAAGTCTATGTAGATCAGAATGGCCTGGAATTCAGAGATCCACCTGCCAAGTGCTGGGAATAAAGGAGTGCACCACTATGCCCAGCTATTTCTTAATGTTGGTGGGGAGTCAACAGGACTTCTTTACACACCAAACAAGCACTTTATCACCGAGGTACACACCCCATAGTCTTTCTTCATCTCATTCACTTGCTACATCCAGCAGCACCACCACTACCACAAATTATGCAGTCGAATTTCCCACATTTGGGGAAATCGAAGGGGTCAGCACATCTGGAATGCAATGTGTAAGCCTCGCCCTGGGATTATGGTATCTCTCCTGCCAGGTAATAAGCTTCTCTTATTTGAACTATTTTAACCATTGCTAAAACCAGTCTTTTTGTTTTTTTTTTTTTTTTTTTTTTTTTTTTTTTGAGACAGGGTTTCTCTGTAGCTTTGGAGGCTGTCCTGGAACTCAAAATTATTTTAAGATAATTAAAGGAGTCAGGTGGTGGTGAACACCTTTAATCCCAGCCCTTAGGAGGCAGAGGCAGGTGGCTCTCCAAGTTTGAGGCCAGCCTGGTCTACGGAGCAAGTTCCAGGACAGCCAGGGCTACACAGAGAAAACCTGTCTCATAAGCATACAACCCCCCCCAAAAAAAAAACAAAACAGAAAAACAAGTTGGGGGTAACAATACAGATTTGTAATCCTAGAACTCATGGGGTTTAAGACTGGTTACATGGGGTATGTTACACAGTAGCTCTGCAGGGGCTGCTTGGTCATCCTGGCTGGCCTACTGCCTCTGGGATAATAGAGTGATGGAGGGTGGTAGCAGTGGGAAAATACCTTGGGGCTCAGATAGGGCCTGATCCTTCTGAAGACCCTGCCACACCCTTCACTCTCTGCCCTTGATTCCTTTTCCCTTGTAGCAACAGTCAGTGCAGCTGTTGTTCCCAGTACCCCCATCTTTAGTCCCTCCATGGGTGGAGGCAGCAACAGCTCCCTGAGCCTGGATTCTACAGGGGCTGAGCCCATGCCAGGAGAGAAGAGGAAGCTTCCTGAGAACCTCACGCTGGAGGATGCTAAGCGGCTCCGTGTGATGGGTGACATCTCCATGGAGCTGGTCAACGAGGTCATGCTGACCATCACTGACCCCACTGCCATGCTAGGGCCTAAGACGAGCCTACTCTCAGCCAATGCAGCTCGAGATGAAACAGCTCGCCTGGAAGAACGGCGAGGCATTATCGAATTCCATGTCATTGGCAACTCTCTGACACCCAAGGCCAACCGGAGGGTGCTGTTCTGGCTTGTGGGGCTGCAGAATGTCTTTTCCCACCAGCTGCCACGAATGCCCAAGGAATATATTGCTCGCCTGGTCTTTGACCGAAGCATAAGACCCTGGCCTTGATCAAGGATGGGCGTGTCATCGGTGGGATTTGCTTCCGAATGTTCCCCACTCAGGGATTCACGGAAATTGTCAAGGGTTATGGCATGCATCTGATGAACCACCTAAAGGAGTACCACACAAACACAGCATCCTTTACTTTCTCACCTATGCTGACGAATATGCCATTGGCTACTTCAAAAAGCAGGGCTTCTCCAAGGACATCAAGGTGCCCAAGAGCACCTGGGTTACATCAAGGACTATGAAGGAGCAACCCTGATGGAGTGTGAGCTGAATCCCCGGATTCCCTACACAGAGCTGTCCCACATCGTCAAGAAACAGAAGGAGATCAAGAAATTGATTGAGCGCAAACAGGCACAGATCCGAAAGGTCTACCCTGGACTCAGCTGCTTCAAGGAGGGAGTGAGGCAGATTCCTGTGGAGAGTGTCCTTGGCATTCGAGAGACAGGCTGGAAGCCCTTGCGAAAGGAGAAAGGCAAGGAGCTGAAGGACCCTATCAGCTATACACAACCCTCAAAAACCTGCTGGCTCAGATCAAGTCACACCCCAGTGCCTGGCCCTTCATGGAACTTGTGAAGAAATCAGAGGCCCCCAACTACTACGAGGTTATCCGCTTCCCCATTGACCTGAAGACCATGACAGAACGGTTGAGAAGTCGCTACTACGTGACCCGGAAGCTTTTTGTAGCTGACCTGCAGCGGGTCATTGCCAACTGCCGGAAGTACAATCCCCCAGACAGTGAATATTGTCGTTGTGCCAGTGCCCTGGAGAAGTTCTTCTACTTCAAGCTCAAGGAAGGGGGGCTCTGCAATGTCCGCCTCACCTGATCCGTTTGGGTGTTCCTGGCCCTCCTCTCCCTGACTCAGCAGGCAGGATAAACTCCAGCCATGGGCCCCAAATCTTGAAGACTTTTCAGCCAGCAGGCACTCCCAAGCCCGCAGCTCTGTTCCTGCCTTCATTGCCTCCGGCCTTGGGGAAAAGTCTGGTCTGGGACCAGCCCTTCGTTGAATGTCTCATGGCCAGGGGATGAACTAACTGCTCAGCCCTGGTCCTTAGAGAGCCACGCAGGCTGGGAGTTCTGAGCCTGACCCAGGTGCCTGTTTCCCAGGGTCAGGGCTATTCGGTGATTATGATTATTAGCCTTGGGATGGAAACAGCCAGGACTGGAGGAGCCATGAGAGACTGTGGCTCATCCTACACCGTTTTGTCCATCTGTCCCCCAGGACAGGGGCATAAGGACCATTCATTCCTTGGCATTAATCCCTTTCAGGGATCAATAAAGCTTAAAAAAAAAAAAAAAAAAAAAAAAAAAAAAAAAAGGACTGGTTACATGGGAAGGTCCTGTCTAAAAACTAAAACCAACCCCACACACACTTTGAAGCCCTAGGGTCAACTCACCCCAGAAGTGAATTCCCACAGCTCCAGGCTTTCTTTATTTTTAATGAGTATGGATGTTTAGCCTGCAAGTATATAATATGCACACAGGGCCTGTAGAGGCCAAAAGAGGATGTCAGATCACCTAGACCAGGAGTTACAGTTGGGAATTGAACTTGGATTCTTTGGAAGAGCAGCCAGTGCTCTTGACTGCTGAACTGTCTCTCCAGTCCCCAGTTCTCACCTTTGATATTGTTGGAAACTTACTTAAAAAAAATAAATAAATTACAGTGCTGATGATGTAGCTGAGTGTAGAGTCCTTTCCTAACAAGACAAGGCCCTGGACAACACTTTTGTCCCTTTTATTTGGTTTTGGCGATTCTGGGAATTGAACTGCAGGCACCGTGTTTGTGAGGCAGACACTGTGCTACTGTGCTGTGTCCTAGTCAATATCTTGCTGTGCCCTCAGCTGAGTAGGATTTCAACCTCCTACTTCGCTTACAAATCCTGGGATTTATGGGGAGTTTGAGGCCAGCATGGTCTACAGAGCGAGTTCCAGAACAGCCAAGTCTACACAAAGAAACCCTGTCTCAAAAAAACCCATAACAACAACAACAAGGAAATATTCCAGGGCCTGAAAAGATGGCTCAATAGGTAAGATGTTGTTTTTGTAGAGAACCCTAATCTTTTTTCCAGAACCCACATGGTGGTTCACAACTGCCTGTAACTCTAGTTGTAGGGGATTTGACACCCTCTTCTGATTTTTTGGACACCAGCCACACACAGTACACACATGCAGGCAAAACATCATACATATAAAAAAAAATACTATTCCAGAGCTGGCAAATGACACATTGGATAAAGAAACTTGCTGTGCAAGCCTTTCACCTCCAAAATGCATGTACACAGACAGATGTGGTGGCATACATATGTAATCCCAGCTTTTCTCTGGTGACATTGGGAAGCAGGGACAAAATCACATTGAGTATGGAGAACAGCAGAAACAGTGAGCTATTTTCTGATGCTATTAACAGTGTGCATTATACAGTGAAACCCTATCTTGAAAAAAAAAAAAAATCTGTTTTACCTGGGTGGCGGCGGCGGCGGCGGCACACACCTTCAATCCCAACACTCAGAGGCAAAAAGAGGTGGATTTCTGTGAGTTTTGAGCTAGGCTGGTCTATAGAGGGAGAGATCCAGGACAGCCAAGTCTATATAGAGAACCTGTCCTTTACATACTACATCATTATAATGCAACTTAAGAGATAGATGAGGCACACAGACACTCATGCATGTCCACACTTATTCCTCGGTAATTAGAAGCATTATTGGTACAAAACACTGGGTTATCATGACAGTCACACATGTCTAAAATCTGCTCTGACCATTGTCACTGCTCCCTTGACCTCCTCACTTCTCTCCCCTTTCACTCTTCCTTCCAGAGTCCTTTTCATTAAAGATCTAGATTCTGGGGCTGGACAGATGGCTCAATGATTAGGAGCACTGGCTGCTGTTCCAGAGGACCTGGGTTCAGTTCCCAGTGCCTACATGACAGCTCACAGATGTTTGTATCAGTTCTAGGGGACCCAACATCCTTACACAGATAAACATATAGGCAAAACACCAATGTGCATGGAGTAGAAGTGAATTAATCACTAAACAACAATAACAAAAAAAAACCTTTGAATCGTTACTTTTTCTCTTAGAACTTACATTTCTTTTACATTTCACACTGACTCCATGCATGTATTTTTAACATAATGTGCATGAAAATCTTTTTATTGACCACTCTGCCATATTTCTCAGTGACAGAAATAAATCTATAAACTGAACTTCAGAGTTTTAGTGTTTCCCTCCAGCGTGTGTATGTGTGGTACAGGGGATTGAACCCAGGGCTTCTAGCCCTAGCTTTTTTTTTTTTCTTTTTTTGAGACAAGGTTTCTCTATATATAATAGCACTGGCAGTCCTGGAACTCGCTTTGTAGACCATGCCGGCCTTGAAACCAGAGAGATCTTCCTGCTTCTGCCTCCTGAATGATGGGACTAAAGGTGTACACCACCAGTGCCAGCTTAAAAGTAAAGCATTCTCTAAATGGTTATTAAAAGATAGCATACTACTAAGACGTTTACTGGCTCCATTTAAAAAGTGATGTAACCATTTTATTTTTAAATGTTAATATTTATAAATTCCCTGGAAGTTAAATTCCTTGCAACTATAAATAGCATGTTTAACCATTTCACTTTCTAAAGTAGCCAATTTATATTAAGCATGTAGCATATATAAGGCTGTTCATACAATTTTTATTTCATTTTTTCACTTAAAAGTGAATTATGCTAATTCAGTATAAAATTGATCTAAAATATTTAAGTTTTAAATTTTTGCTTATTAATTATTTTTATTGTTTTGGTTGTTCAAGACAAGACTCTCTATATAACAGTCCTAACTGTCCTGCAACTAGTTCCATAAACCAGGTTGACCTTGAACTCACAGAGATCTAGTCTTTGCCTCCCTCTCCTAAGTGCTGGGATTAAAGGTATGGACCACCACCACCACCGGCGGCGGCATATTTAAGCTTTTTAAAAAAGTGTTATGTGAATGGTTGCTTTGATGGCATGTATGTCTGTGCACATATGTATGCCTGGTCCTGGAAGAAGCCAAGACAGGGCACTGGATTCCCAGCAACTGGCAGTACAGAAGGTGCTGAGTCACCATGTGGGTGCTAAGAACCAAACTTGGGTCTTCAGGAACAGTAGCCAGTGCTCTTAATACCAAACCTTTGATCTATCCTTCATTTAGTTTCTAATATGTTTAAGAGCTTAAGATGACAATTTTAGAGGTTTGATTAGGCATGCATAGTGGTGCTTTAGTTCCACCACTTGGGAGGCAGAGGCAGATGGATCTCTGAGTTCCCTACCAGCCACAGCTACATAGTGATACCTTAACTCAAACAGAAAAGAAGTTTGAGGGTTAACTTAAAGTTGTGAGAAGGCTAGGGATGCAGCTCAGGAGCTCAGGAGTAGCGTGCTAGTCTAGAATGTCAAGGGTTATGGGGTTCAGAGTGCTTCAAGATGACATAGTCCAGGGGCTAGAGATGGTTCAATGGTTAAGAGAGCTTGCTACTCTTCCACAGAACCTAAAGTAAGTTTCCATGCGTTAAATCCAGTCCCAGAATATCCAATACCTTCTTTTGGCCTCTACAGGCACCCACATACATATGGCATATGCTCACAGTCTTAAACACATACACAAAAATAAATTAAATAGATCTTAGTTTCCTAAAGAAATCAAAGTCCTATTAGATGCTTTTTGGTAAGTGTGCAGGTCTCATGGGTATATTAGCATGTTATAGTTTGCAATGACCTAAATAATGAAAGTTGATTACATTTGTGTAGCCCATTGTCTCCCAAGCATTTCCCTCCAGTTTCTATATGTGTGTGTGGTGCTGAGGATCATCAAACCTAGATCCTATTGGTGTGTTCTATCACTGAGCCACCAAGCCATCTCACTAGGCCCTAGAACTTCTTAAACAGGCAACAAAATCGGAGCTCCATAGAACCCTTGAAAAATCAAGGCTAAATCAAGACTCATCTGACAAGCCAGTCCCTTTCAAGTGCTCCAAACTGCACTCAAGAGGCATCCCTTCCCCAATAGTCCCACAGGCTTTACCACCCTTGACACAACTTTGTCTTCTGTTCTCATCAGGCATTAGTACTGGTGTTGAAAGAACAAGCACCTGAAAGCTGGACGCAAGGGAAAGGAATACAGGTAGCTAAGTGGGCTTGTATAACTGACTGAATACAAGACATGTGAGGTGTGGTAGGAAAGAAGTCCATTTTAGATATGTTGGAAATAAATGTGAGAATGGACAGACAACAGACTGGCAAAAATATGGATCTTGCTTGGAAACATGAAAATTATAATTATATGTAACATACAAAGTCAGAAAAGAATCAATGACATTACTTAGGAAAAAATATTTATTTAAATATTTTTTATTTATTTAAATATTTATTTAAAAAATTGAGGGGATGGTTACCTATTAACATTCATATTTTTCTAAATGTGCAAAAAAGAATCAGGTATAATACTGCATGTCTATAATATCTGCACTTTGGAGCATAAGTGAGATCTCTCACATTTGCTGGAGAGATGCTCAGTGATTAAGAGTACTTGCCTCTGTTATGGAGGACCAAAATTCTACTCCTAGCCCCATGTTTGGGGACTGAAACTGTAACTCAAGCTCCAGTGGTTCTGACACTCTCCTCTG